CTGATTTGTAGGCTGGAACACATTTTCTAATCTTATGGAAAAAGCCTCTGCTGGTTCCTACAATAATGACACGAACCAGAAAAACTCAAGACTTCTTTTTTAAAAAGACTGATTGTGTCACATTCTGTCATAATTCTATTTAAAATCCTGATTAGATTCTCTAAAAAGCTTCATTTTCCCTTTTTTTCCTATGGAACTACCACTAAACATCAGTAACATCTACCACAGCCAGAAGGAGCACATTATCAATATACACAAACTTAATTTCTGTATGAGCAGAATGGAGGTTACACACACACATGAGCACAGGCAGAGAACATTCTAACAGTCCAACAGGGCAGGGTAAGTAAAGAATCAATTTAAAAATATGCAATAATCTACATGTCTGATTTTGAAATTAAAATAATCCAGCTTTGGAAACAGGTATGCTGCAACTCCTGTCATCCCAACAGAAATGCCAGTGCAGGGGATGGGATCTCAGACATCTTCATACATTCTTTTTTTCCTTTTAACTCCCTTTTCTAGTAGAGCAAACCATGTTCCTCTAGGTAAAATATCCAGCTCTGCCTGTGGGATAACAGATAACCTGAAGGAAGTATGCCAACATTTATGACACCACAATGGTTTACCCAGCACGCTGTTAAATGTTTTCTGTTCAGTCCCCCAAAATAAAATGTATGAAAGCATAAACGTTGGCAGAATAATCTCCCAGTCTGCAGACAACCTCCCTGACTCTGCGAGCTGCATATTAAAATCATCACACACTGAGGAGTCCCAAGGCACACAGCCCAGACAGCCTGGGGGAGGGGACAGCTCCTCAGCAGACCACAGATGGAAGGGAATGATGCTCAGCTCGGGAGCCACTGCACCACTGGGACAGAGGACAGGCAGTGCTGGACAGGCTGCTGAATCCCAGGATCACTGCAGCCACTCCAGCTTCTGCAATCCTGCTTCATCATTCCACAGCAGTGAGCTGAAACTCCCATTTTCCCCTTGGAAAGCTCACCTCTCCCTTCCTGATGCCCTGCCATGAACATGCCAGACAGACCCACAAGGATCATGGAGGTCCAAAAGGCACAGATTGACCAGCTCTGCTTTACAGTAAAGGGATAAAAATATTTTCCAGCTAACATTTCTAATCAAAATATTTACCAAAATACTTTCTATGTTAGACTAACTGCAATATATAGACTTAACTGTTTTTACTCCTCTGTTTGCAGATTTAGCACTTACCTTTATTTCATATAATGCTGGAGGGTTGGATGGATGCTTTGCCTTTCAATTACCAGGGTGGATGTTTGAGTAACAAACCACTTAAGCTATTTTCTATCAGCTTTAGACAATTACATTCAGCAGAGGTGGGAGTGAAGCAGGCAAGGAATTGATCACCTGTGCTGCCTAACGGGGCAGGAGGATGGCTAGAAGAGAAGCAGGCAGCAAAACCCACCCTGATAGTATTTATGACAAGCACAGCTCCCTTAAAGCCCCTGTAGTTATTAAATAACATTCATTCCCATCCTAGTGACCCTTTACCACACAGAACACAGCTCACAATTACAGCTGAATGTTTTCATTAGAAAAACCCTTATACACAAAGTTTCTTGATCAAGTGCAAATAAACTGGCAAGAGTTTATACATGTAAAATAAACACTAATAGCCTGTGCTCAATAGTCCTGCTCTCAAAAAAATTACCATAAAAGAACAACTTGAATGTGCAATAAAAACCTGCTCATTTCCCACCTCATCTAATTCCGCAATGTTTCTCTCCAGCTGAACAGGAAGACTACTTTCATTTGTTTTCAAGTAATTGAGAAACATTTCAGGTCTTTATCAGCTCTCCAATCTTTCTTCTTTTCACATTCCCTAGAATTGTTGCCAACAGGGTATTTATAAAAGATCCAGCCTCATAAAAATACTCAGACAAACAACACTGCAGGGGAAAAAAATAGAAACTGAGGAAGCTGTTATGTAGAGACGATTTAAAGGGTTGGATCATTGTTAAAAAAGAGAAAATAATTTGTTTCAATGGATGCAAGAGCTGTGTGAGGGAGCATTCCTAGCCCTGGGCTCCAGCAGCCACATACCTTTCCCCTAAGGGTGGAAATAGGTGTTTATTTTGGAAGGGTTGGTGCTCCACATCACAAATGGAAACATTCAGCTGGGGCTGAGGCCTCGGAGCAAGACTGAACTGACAACACACCACAAACACACCCCCACAGGAAACCTCCTTCCTCTTCCTTCCTTTCCCTGTCCTGAGGCCTCAGCAGCCACTGAACCTGCAGCAGCCCAGATCAGCAGTACAGAACACACGAGCTCATTGCAGGACAGCAACCCCGCACCCCTGTGGCAGACAAATCCATTAAAATCTAACTATTCATCAAAAAGAATCAGACCTTGGTCACAGGTTTCTAGCACAGAAGAAGCCAACCCAGAAGGCAAAACTCCTCCCTCCCTCCCAAGCCTCACCACCTGGCCCTTCCTCCCCACTTCAGCAAAGTGCCTTCTGCTCCACAAACACAGCTGAGAGCAAACACCCTGCCCCAGACAGCTGAGAAACAAACTGAAAACCCTTCCAGATCCCTCCTGCACTCGTAGGATTTCTTTTTCTCCACCAGGACCCAACCAGTGCAAGCACCTCTCACTGCCATGGCAACCCACTTGCAGAACTCAGTGGCACACACATAAAATTAAGCAATTTTTTTTTTTTTAAGTTACCACAAAGAGCTCCATTAAGGCATATTTATAAAGATCTCATCTACCAACATCTACATTTTACAAAATGTCCAGTTTCAGTCCAGCCTTAATCTCTGATTTAATACATCCTGCCCACTGGCATGCTGCAGTCCATTCACTCAGTTTTACTGTGCCATCCCGTCATCACAACTAATTTAATTGCTGTGTCCCAGATAGGAAATAAATTGACTAAATTCAATTATAATCCCTGTGTTGCTTTTTAGTTCTAGTAGCATGTGTCACTTATCTTTAGAAATGTATCCAAATAAAGCATTTGGTGCAGCACCGCAATAAAGTTTATAGTCAACTCTGAATATTGTAGGAAAAAAAGTTCTGCTTTTTCCTCTCATTAATTTTGTATTAATATTTTCTGTATTTTAAGAAATTTCTGCTACCTCTCATAAGATCATTGCACGTCCCTTCTAAAGATAAATGTAAGGAACTGCACTGTAAAGTGGAAATAAAACATTTCCACAGAGCAACCTGAAAAGCAACGACATTCGCCAGAGAAAGGAAATTCAAAGAAGGGTCCCTTACAGGACTGTAAACAACCCCTGATCCTGAGCATGAACAGGAGGTTTGGACTCTGCAGGACAGGTTTCCCCTTCCAACGATGCTGAACCACAAAAATCTGCATCACTGCTTCTGAAAGATGAAACAATAAATGCCAAAGCTGCTTAATCTCTAACATAACTACCCTTATCCACTGCTGTCTTCTTCCTGAGCCATATTTAAAGCAATAGAAGATGCTTAAATACGTGGGATAATGAACAAAAAAAATTCAACAGATGGAGAAATGCAGTCTCTCTACATTTGAAAGAAACAAACTCACAAGCATACCTGAAAAACTGAAGTTATTAACTAGAAACTTACACGTGGCAGTTTCAAGCAATTAAAAGCAAAGCTGTCACAACACAGACAGAAATAGTAACATCCCACAGAGGGAAAGCAGAAGGCTCTGTGTCTCACTCCTAACAGAAATGAAGAGCCACTGCATCAACACGTGAAAATGAATTTAGTTACCCTGACAGCAAAAACATCTGCTGCTGAATTGTGATATTAAAAAGTCATTATAATCCATTATAGAACAGTGGAACCTTTTCACACAGAAATGAGCTGATACAGAGAACAAAACAAGCAATACTGTGAAAACAGAAATATTCCATTTAGATAGAAATTGTTCTTATGTATCTTAATTCCAAAGTTTTTTATGTAAATAAGTTTTGGTGGGACTCACATACCTGTGCTCCCTTCCCCTGAAAGTAAAATCCAGTGTTAGAAACTACATGAGATGTCACAGTGCAGATACTACAGAATTCCAACTAAAACTTTCTGACCTCTCCCTTTCCACACAGGAAAAACTTAAGGAAGAAAATGACAGTTTCAATGAATTACTGTTACAGAATCTTCATCATGAAGTTATTATTTTATTTTCCTGAATTCATATTACTGAAGTAATAGTTAATTTCTGCTGTATAAATCATAAGAAGTGTATGAAACATAAGTTGTTTAGTCCAGCCCTTGTGTTAGGTGTGGTTCTTCTCTAATTCTCATTCTTTGGGGCTCTGGGAAGCTCCACTTGCCTGTCACCTAATTACCCACCAATAAATGACAATGCATTTGAGCTGGCTCAGAAGTGAGACACAAAAACATCTGTAAGCCATCAGTTGCATAGAAAGACATTACCTTGCCTCTCTTCTTCACCTTTCTGAAAGCTACAGCTTCATTAATTTTTCTCCCAGGGAACCTGGCAGCCCACTGGCCCCAGAGGGGAAAGCATTCCTTACCTCTGCTGCAAAGCAGCTCCACTCACTTCCCAGGCAGAAAACCCACAGAGAAAGAAAAACAGGCAGTGGTGGCAGCAGGGGGAATAATTTCTCCTAAGCACCATGAATTGAGTTTACACATTAAATTGAGTTGAATTGTGCAAGGGGAAAGGGGCAATTACTTGTCTTTGAAACAGATAAATAACTACTAACAACTAAATGGAAAACTGCATCTGTCTTGACAAAAGAGATGACACATGCTGTGTTATGGTTCACAGAAAATTAATCCATATATTCTTGTCAAAAGGCTGCCATAGAATACCCAGCAAGATAAGCCAAAGCTTATGCTGAGAATCCCAACAAAACTTTAGGAACATAACAATCCTAGTAAGATATACTCCCCTCATTAAACAGACACAATGAATAAAAAGTACAAGCACGTTTTTTAAACAAGCTCATAAAAACAGCAGACATTTGACAAAGAATAAACATGAATTTACCTTTGGTTTTTTGTTCAGCAGCCTGAAAGAAGAGAAGAACAAAACAAATCAACTACTTGTCAATACTGCAAATTATACCTAATAATTACATGGCCAACTTTTTGCAGAAGCTGCTAACATAAATCAGGCATTGGTTTCATTTAAGGACTAGAGAATGTTAGTTTAACTCCATGTGATAGGAATGTGGGAATGGCAGAAGAAGATGCCAAAGAGGAAGTGTGAAGAATGACAAGAGAGGGCAGCAGCCCATCCACCCTCCTGAGGGGCAGAGGCTTTCTGGACCCCACTATGTGTGTGAACCCTTGAGCACCCAGCAGAATTAACTTCTGTGACTTTGTCCAGCATCCCTTTGAATCCACCCATGCTCTCAGCTTTCTCAGAAGACCTGTTTAATTTTTAATCTGTTTGAAATCTATGCATATTTTTTTATGATGCCTGATTTTTCTACCAGAAAAGACAGCGATCAATTCTTATTTCAAATTAAAACTATCTATGCAACCCAGAAAATGAGGGAGGAGGATGCCCAGGAGTGGAAATGAGCCTGGGATTCCAGAGTGCCTCCAGCACCTGCTGGGACTGATCCAGGCACTCCTGGCTGAGGAGTGGCCACGGGAGGCAGGAGTGGGAGCAGCCCCTTCCCAGCAGGGCATGGTGGGCACGGGCAGTGCCAAAGCCCTGGCACAGCTGCTTGGGCAGGATTTGTGACCACAGCCCCTCCCCAGGCCAGTGGCAATGGTCCAGTGCCAGGCTCACTCCCAGAAGTGAAGCTGCAGCATCAGTACCCACACTCACATTTAAAAGTGAAAGGATCAATTACAATAGGAACATGAACAAACCTTTTTCTGAGCACCTTCCTTCTTTTTCTTTTCTTCCTGCTTTTTCTTTTTCTTTTCTTCCATCAAATGTTCCTCTTCTTGTGTTTCTTGTTCTTTCTCCCTGATAAAAACAAAGGTTAGGAAGAGCTTTTCAGTAAGATGAAGTTTCTCTAGGAAGGTGAATAATCCATATTTGCATTGCTAACTTTCTACATCTCGTGTCTAAAAAAGGCTGCTTCTAATGCTGCAATAAAAGCACTAAAAAAGAGCTGTTCCAAAATTGAAACTCACAACAAATAAAATAGCAGGCAGTGAGAATTCAGAAAGGATAGATTTTATTTGGAACCTCTTTCCACAATCACTCATAAGTGTTGCTTAATATTAGCATATTCTAGGGAAAGAAAGTTTGAAACTGGAAAAAAAAGGATCAAACCCAAGTAATTAATGCAAGTTCTGCTGGCTTTCAGCAGCTGTGATTCACAATATACCTTGAAGATCATGAGCAAGTACATTACTTTGCAACTATTTTTCTCTTTTTGATCAAACACATGCTGCATTAATTTTCCATACGCATCAATTTTGTTCTCAAGAGTTGTAAACTAAGGCCCAGATGAATTCCAATAATCATATTCTGTGCTCATCCTATAAATTCTAGCTGAAGAATTTGCATTAATGCAAAACAAGATGGTTCCAGTATAATCTTGATTAAAAATTAACTCGAATCATTCCAAATCAAGAAGAAAACCTATCTGAAGCCTTTTCTCTGCTTCCTGTGTCCATCACTGAAATAAATGGTTATAGCAATGACCCTCCCCAACATCCTTTTCAATAAATACCAATGCAAATAATTCATTTCCTTCTGTATAACTGCTTTATCTTCCTTGACAGCTCTTCAGGTCCTGATCATTTATCAGCCTTACAGATCTTCTGAGCAGGCTATTTCTGATGGACTGAAGCCATTACCATCACTAGTATTAGATTCAATGTCTTCCAATTACTCATCAAAATCACTTTTAGCCTAATTTACTATTACATTTAACTTGCCAAAGCTTGCAGCCCCCTCCCTTTTCTTTGTTTGGATATTTGTTGTTGTTAAAAAAAGAGGAGCAGTCTGTCAGACTGCTTTTTACCTACAGGAGAAACCATCCACTCCTCAGATTTTGCACATTATGTCTTCAAACATTCCCCACGAAACATTTTGCCTCTTAACAAGTTTGCATTTTCCTACATGGTTTCCCTTTGTTATAAAAAAGAGAACATTGTAGCCTTTTGATATTTTGGTGCTGAAGGGCACTCTGGGATTTGGCTTTTTCACTTGCCTGAAAATACTGATCCTGAGCCACTGCAGATGCTTTAATGCTTACACAGATCCTGTATGGAACTCCAGACTAAATTAAAAGCAGATTCCCTTCCCTTGTGTCACCCCAAACTATAAACACTACAGAATGCAATTCACAGCTCTAAATTTAGGTGTCAGTGCCTTTTTAAGGCACTTTACAGCACTCAGACTATTTACAGAAGTAAGAGATGTGGCAAGACCCAGGGTCTGGAATAGCAGACAGAGGTTGGGCACATCTGGGAGCTCTTGGTGCACCACTGGAGGTCCAGACTGATGAAATGGCATCAAGTATCTGTTTTTTAAATACTGATTCACCTTCTGTCATGGCCAAAAATTCACCACCTGCTCAGCTTATGCCAGCTCCAAAGGGCCACCTTTTAAACCCTGTATTGTAAACTGAGGTTTGGGAAACATCTGCCCTTAGGAACAGCAGGTCGGAATTTGCATTACACTAAAAAAAATGGTAAATCACACTTAAAACAAAGGTGCTTGAAATTGTACTTTTAAATGGTTTCTTGTAGGACTTTGCAAAAAGTGATGACTTAGGTTGCCAAAAGAAACTGAGTTGAAACTGTGACAGATTTGCCTTTATCCCTGTTAGCTCAGTGGAGAACAGACGTCCCCAGGACCTCAGAAACTACAAAGAAACAACATCCAGTCCCTTCGTTTGCACTGCTCCCTACCCAAGTCACAGCAGACTCTACAAAGGCCCTGTTCCAGTGAACTCCCCCAGCTCTCAGACTATTGCCAGAGGAAGTTCAGCTTTTTCTCGTTTTTGAAAGCAGGTGAATGAAACAAGTCCATGTAAAATGAGAAACTTTTTGGTTTCGTCTTGTTAGTACTTAAGAAACCCCATGCCATTACAGCAATTCCAGAACACCACAGTTACATTTAAATCCCCTTCAATACTCAGGGCAGTATTTAAAAACAAAAACAAAAAACCACAGACAAAAACAAACCACCACCACCACCACCACTTTGCCTAACATGCAGAGTTTTCCTTAAACTATAAAAGTATATATTACTCAACTTCCTTATTAGGAAGTTGGGTAATATAAGATAAAGTTCTGATCTTATATTTCAAGATCAAGTTCTTTTCCTAAAATACCAAGTTGAAAGGAATCTTAAGGATCTTCTGGTCCAACTTGTCTTGGTCCAGCCAAGGCTTTAAAGTGTCCAGCCCTTGGGATCAACTTTCACCACTGCCAAAATTGTTCCTTACACTGGACTCCACTATCAATTTTTGTTTCCAGGCAATGCAGTGGAATGTCTAAATATTTCAAACTGCAGATCAGTGGATTTTCCAAATCCAAGAAGAGCAAACATTTTGCTCCATTAAGAATACACTGTATTTTATTACCATATTAGCACAGCAATTACATCATCAGAGGTAGAAGTGCCACTCCTCACAAAAACCTGAGGTTTGGTTGTGGGGTTATTTTTTTCATTTGTGAGATTAAAATAGCCTTGGATTAGCTCAGAAAATGATACTGTAATTTTTAATGGAACTCCATTTTCAAAACTGATTTACATAATGACACTTCTGAATACATGTGCTTTAAATACGCTTAAAATAGAAATAAAGCTCCAAGCAGCCTCTCAGATGGCAACTCTTGCTGTCACTTTTAGGCAGAAATTAGTCATCTAAGAGCAAAACAAAAGGAAAACAATAAAAACATGGCTATATAAAGTTTGATTACGTTGTCAAAGGCACATGTTGCAGCTTTACTTCCTGAGCGACAATTTAATCTTTATTGCAGGAAACAGGCTAAAACATTTATGAATACAAAGCTCATGTTCAAAAGCAGGAATGTCTCAGAATATCCCTGTAGGAGTTTGCCTTGTTCTTACATATGGATCTGAATGGGGAGGGATTTTTATGAGCAAGGAGTTTTACTACAGAATGAAGTGGTGTTTTCACAGATTGCAAATCGCTTATGAAATCCAAGCCTGACCCGAGGTTATCTTTAAAGTGCATGTGCTTGAGAGCTCTGTCAGAACAGGAAAACAAGAGGAGCTGCAGGTCATGGCCACAACTCCAGCACTGGGGCTCTGGCCTGGCAGTGCCTGCTGCTGAAAGGTTTATTAATCCCTTTAAAAAATTAACAAATCTAGCTTGATTTATTTTTAAGCTAAGTAGGAACTTGAGTTTTCTAGTTGGATTGCTTCCATAGCTTAAGGCACAGCTGGTATTGTGGATCAGCACTGAGGGGACATCCTGGATGCATTCTGCAATATTCCTTTTGGGAACAGTATTCTTCAACAACCTTCAGGAAGAGTCTATTTGTATTATTGCCCATACAGTGTTTTAGAGTTCAGAAGTTCCTGCAGTAATTGAGGGCTAAACACAGACCTGTCTCTCTTGTCATTCTATGTCACACTGCTCCTAACCTCAATAACCTAATTAATTTTGTTGTATAAGCAAGATACTGAAGGTTTATTTAATAACATAAGAAAACTGCCTTTTCAACACAGCATTCCTAATCTTTGCCTACAGATGCCTTTGTCTGGTTTAGCAACCATACTTTAATTCCAAGATACCTCTTGCACCTTAAATCCTACTTTATGCTGGAATAAAGTCCCTTGACAGTTGTAGAAGTTGCTCTTACTGACAGAAATCCTACAACTTGTACACAGCTGCTCAAGCACTGCTCTGGTTTTGACTTCCCTCACTGTACAAGAGGCCATCGTGCCTTCCTGCATAGGCATTTTTTCCTAACAGTGATGATGGGAGGGAAAAAACTGGAAAAAAGAAAATCTTATAACTAGAATTGTAAGGAACTGGCAAATATTCATCCAAATGCAGGCTGTGCAGGTTTTATGGAAGGAATTAATAGAACTATGCATTGTTACAGGGGATAACAGATAACAGAGGGTTTGGACAGCACAGACATGAGCTCTCAAAAACAAGTTCTCAAATCTGGTATCACACAGTTTCAAACAGAAGGGAAGAATATGACTACTTAGGAAATTCTTCAAGATCTGATTGTAAGAAAGAAGTAGCTAAAATCTTGAAGGTGGAAAAGAGCTTGAAGGGTGGTGATGAAATGGGATCAAAAATAAACATCAAGATAAGAGCATCAAATTCTGGAAAGGCAGGCTTTGATTCCTTCAGGACACCTGAAATACAGACCCATATGAAGAAGCAGGTGCTGCTTCTTGGAAATCACCAGGAACCTAAACAATACAAATACCCACACGTACAGCAGGAATCCTACACCAAGCAAGAGGTCACCAGAGCATTTGCAATCCTTGTTTTCACAAGTGCTGGAGCAGATAAACTAAAATTCTGTGTTTGCCTACTGCTAATTTTGTTTCCTGCTTCGTCTTTACTTGGTCCAGCTCTGTGACCTTTCAGAGTAAATATGGGTGAAGGGAAGGAGCTGGTGTGACTGTTAAAGTGCCAGCTTTGTTCTCCCTTGATATCCAGGCTCAGTCATTAATCAAAAAGAGTCAAGCTGGTCCCTAATTACAAGCTCTCCAATCACCTCAAAAAAGAAAGCAGCATGCAAAACTAGGTCAAATAAATAAGACGGAAATATGAAAAAAAAAACCAGCACAAACACACGGGGACAAACTGAGAAAAGCCAGAAAAATATGAGCACTGTACGTGTAAAAAGCAACAACAAATCAACCTTTACGTGGTTCATTAATATGCAAGAGGAAATATTAGTTTTGATTCTTGGTGGGAAGGGGGAGCAGTGACAGATGACCCTGGGAGGGCTGAAGTGACAGTACTTTTCTCCCTAAAGAGGTCAGCAGGGAACAGATGGCCAACAACC